TTTTCCCCTTTCTTTAAATTAAAAAAGTCACTGATGATGAAGAAATGAAGAAACTAATATTAAGTTATTTTTTTCTACTTAAGTGACAAAAAAAGGGCAAAGAAGAATTTTAGGTGCTTTAGGGCACTAGTGCCCACCACTGCATTTAGAAATTTCTTTTTTTTCCCAAATGACCCTTTTTTCTGTTTCCTTTCCTTGCTTGTCCTCTGCTCGAATCCTGAAGAAACAGAGACTCCTCTGTTAGCTGCAGGACTTGTGTTGGAGCTGTTGGAAACAGAAACACAAACCTTGAAGGAGGGAAACCTATCTGAGTGTTTTGTGTTTTCACCTGACTTCCTGTCGGTCGTGCAGGTTTCCGTGCCGTTTGCTGATGCATCAGGCCGCGCTGGAGCAGAATGCAAAAAGATGCTCGAGCGATTTACGCTTTGGCAGAAACTCCGGGTCGTACATCTTCATGTGGCGACATGAGCATTTTTATGGAACCATCTGTTCTCGCCACAATCGGAGAGGAAATCAGGACACGTAAAATAAAACTTCAGATCGTAACTGTGACCAGAAATCTGTTGCTCGCATCGAAAATGTAGATGAGCAGGAGACGTGGAGGAGTTCTCTTCATCCTTTGCTTCAAACATCTTTTGTTATTCCACCGTTGACCTTTGACTCCTCAGCCTTTTTATCCCTCACACACCTCGTTCTCTCTCTTTACCCACTCCACCGATTTATTCACCGGTTAATTCCTTCTGTCTTCATCATAAAGCTGCTGCTGGCCTTTTATTCATCCTCCTGCATGCTGCAGTTATGTTACTGATTAGAGCAGCAAATTCAATCAGTTTGTTTCTGTTACTTTATTAACTGAAATCCTAACAGTTAGTAATGCATATCACCCTAACTGCCTTACATGATTAAAAATAATGAGTTTGTGTCGGATCCAGTGCAAGGTTATACTAGTTTTGGATTTTTCATTATAGTTTAGTTTTATTTGGTTTAATTCAGTTAGTTTTAATGAGTTTTTAACATGGATTTGCTAGTTTTTATTAGTTATTATTGGTTTTTAAATGCTTAGTTTTAGTTTAGTTTAGTTTTTATTAGTTCTAGTATTTTTTAATAGTTTGAATAAACATACACTCACCGGCCACTTTATTAGGTACACCTGTCCAACTGCTCATTAACACTTAATTTCTAATCAGCCAATCACATGGCGGCAACTCAGTGCATTTAGGCATYTAGACATGGTCAAGACAATCTCCTGCAGTTCAAACCGAGCATCAGTATGGGGAAGAAAGGTGATTTGAGTGCCTTTGAACGTGGCATGGTTGTTGGTGCCAGAAGGGCTGGTCTGAGTATTTCAGAAACTGCTGATCTACTGGGATTTTCACGCACAACCATCTCTAGGGTTTACAGAGAATGGTCCGAAAAAGAAAAAACATCCAGTGAGCGGCAGTCCTGTGGGCGGAAATGCCTTGTTGATGCCAGAGGTCAGAGGAGAATGGGCAGACTGGTTCGAGCTGATAGAAAGGCAACAGTGACTCAAATAACCACCCGTTACAACCGAGGTAGGCAGAAGAGCATCTCTGAACGCACAGTACGTCGAACTTTGAGGCAGATGGGCTTCAGCAGCAGAAGACCACACCGGGTGCCACTCCTTTCAGCTAAGAACAGGAAACTGAGGCTACAATTTGCACAAGCTCATTGAAATTGGACAAGAGAAGATTGGAAAAACGTTGCCTGGTCTGATGAGTCTCGATTTCTGCTGCGACATTCGGATGGTAGGGTCAGAATTTGGCGTCAACAACATGAAAGCATGGATCCATCCTGCCTTGTATCAACGGTTCAGGCTGGTGGTGGTGGTGTCATGGTGTGGGGAATCTTTTCTTGGCACTCTTTGGGCCCCTTGGTACCAATTGAGCATCGTTGCAACGCCACAGCCTACCTGAGTATTGTTGCTGACCATGTCCATCCCTTTATGACCACAATGTTCCCAACATCTGATGGCTACTTTCAGCAGGATAATGCGCCATGTCATAAAGCTGGAATCATCTCAGACTGGTTTCTTGAACATGACAATGAGTTCACTGTACTCAAATGGCCTCCACAGTCACCAGATCTCAATCCAATAGAGCATCTTTGGGATGTGGTGGAACGGGAGATTCGCATCATGGATGTGCAGCCGACAAATCTGCAGCAACTGTGTGATGCCATCATGTCAATATGGACCAAAATCTCTGAGGAATGCTTCCAGCACCTTGTTGAATCTATGCCACGAAGAACTGAGGCAGTTCTGAAGGCAAAAGGGGGTCCAACCCGTTACTAGCGTGGTGTACCTAATAAAGTGGCCGGTGAGTGTATTTGCCAATGCATCCTCCAGCTTGAAGTGTTGCTGTGAGTTAACTAAGCATAACTAACCAGCAGAACATCATTTTGAACATCAAAGTAGTCCGTTATAGCAACACCTTCCTAAAATAATCTCGTAACTGAATTTTGCCAACAAAGGACTCAGGCAGTTGTTTTAAGGTGACAATAGTTGTGTAGTTAAGTGGTTCCCAACCTTTTTAGACTTGTGTACCCCTGAACCATTTTATCATACCACTGGTACCCCCTCTGCCAAACGTAATGATGATTCTCCAAAACTATAATGTACAACAACTGATTATTAAATAAAAAAAATTTATTTAACCCCCTAGAATGTTTAATTCTCAGACATTTTAATATTTCACCTCAAATTAAACAAAGATAAAATGCTGCCTTGAAAATGAATTAGTAATTAAATAAATAAACCAGGTAACGGCAGGTGCAGGGAGCAGCAGCGTCCAAAATACATCAAAAACTCGCCTAAATGAGCAAATTCTGTCAGATTCCACGTTTTATACAGGATTCCATTTTGCATTAATTTTGTGATTCCATCAGCAGTTTCCACATCGTGGAAATCATACTAGAAATCTCAGTCCTATTTTTATTTATTTATTACACACCTGGGAAATTTTTCCACATACCCACTGTAATATGCTCGCGTACCCCAAGGGGTACACGTACCACAAGGGGTACACGTACCTCTTGTTGGGAATCATTGCTCTAGATCCTGGTGCTACCTGGCTGGGCTATGACTTGTTTTTCACAGGAACTA